AGGCTCAATAATTAATTCCCAAGAAACGGATCTACTAAATATCATAAATTACCACAAATATGACTCCAGTTTATCTGAGCAGAAGCCTGACGTAACACTCATTATTTCTATAATTAAATAGAGCCAGTTTGCTCTTAACATCTGCAGAAGCGTCTATAGATAAATAATAGTACCGTATATACTCGAGTATAAGTCGACCCGAATATAAGTCGAGACCCCTAATTTTACCCCCAAAAACTGGGAAAACGTATTGACTTGAGTATAAGACTAGGGTGGGAAATGCAGCAGCTACTGGTAAATTTCTAAATAAAATTATATCCCCCCAAAATTATATTAATTGAATATTTATTTACAGTGTGTATATAATGAATGCAGTGTGTGTGTGTATATAATGCAGTGTGTGTTTGTATGAATGCAGTGTGTGTGTGTATGAATGCAGTGTGTGTGTGTGTGTATATAATGCAGTGTGTTTGTATGAATGCAGTGTGTGTGTGTGTGTGTATATAATGCAGTGTGTTTGTATGAATGCGGTGTGTGTGTGTGTGTGTGTGTATGTATAAATGAGGTGTGTGTGTGTGTGTGTATGAGTGCAGTGTGTGTGTGATGCAGAGTGTGTTTGTGTGGGATGCAGAGCCTTGGTAGGGGGTGGGCATTTTTTTGTAATTATTATTATTTTAATATTTTTTTATATATATTATTAATATTTAATTTTTATTTTGTCCCCTCTCCCTGCTTGTTGTCTGGCCAGGGAGGGGGGCTCTCGTTCCCTAGTGGTCCAGTGGATGGGCTGTGTAGGAGGGGGGCTGGCAGAGAGCTGTTACTTACTTTTCTTGCAGCTCCTGTAAGCTCCCTTCTCCTCCGTGCTGGTCAGCTCCCCTGTCAGCTCCACTGTAAGTCTTGCGGTCTGAGTGCCGCGCGGAGCGTTGCCACGGTAATCCGTGGCAATGCTCTAACCCGTGGCTCTCGCGAGACTTGCAGTGGGAGCTGACAGGGGAGCTGACCAGACCGGAGGAGAAGGAAGCTGACAGGAGCTGCAGGAAAGGTAAGTTACAGCTCTCTGCCAGCCCCCAACAGGACTGCCGGGCTTGTAATGAGCCCGGTGGTCCTGGTCTGTATTATGGCAATGTAAGTTGCCATAAAACAGACAGTGACTCTAGTGTAAGACGAGTGGCGGTTTTCCAGCACAAAAAATGTGCTGAAAAACACGTCTTATTCTCGAGTATATACGGTACATTCTGGCATATCAAAATGGATAGTCTTTCATAGGATTACTCTACTTCTTGTTTTAGATGAAACAAACTCACGCAAATACTTTTTTTAAAGACCCAAGAGACGATTTTATTTTTTTGATTGTGCCTCATTAATTTTCAATGTGTGAATCACAGAGCTTGATTACAGCAGTTACATGTTACACCTGCCATCGAGTTTGCCAAACCAAAATAATTTATAGAAGCTCTTATTTAGTAAGCTTGTCGATGTCATCTTAACATCCTACACAACATATTTTCATTATACATTTACTGTTCCATATCTAATCAAAATACAAACACAGCAGCAATTATGAGCTTAGATTTTCTTACAATTAAGCTACAAAAGTTACAATTAATAAAATAACAATTTTTTTTTCATTTTAGCTCTTTGTTGTTCTTTGTTGTGTTAAGGAATAATTTTGTCAATATACTCATTAAATATTGAATAATATTTTACAATAATACGTTAACTACAAGTAGTAGAAAGAGTCTACTTGCGATACAGACCGAATTGTATCCAACCTTTCTCGGGGCTTACTCCACTGAGATTAACTTGCCACTTGCCATATACTATGACTTGGAGATGGAATAGGTACTAAGTGGCATAGCTTGAAAATATCCAAAAGATATTCTATAAAGGCAATTGTTGGAATTAGACAATGACAAATTAAATGGTATACTATTACTAAAGCAAAAGACCTTGATCAGACAAAGGCTCACATCTCAAAGAAGACTTGGAGCTGGTTGTAACACAGGATCAGAGACCGGTATTCTAGATCTCAAAGTAAGCATGTTGTTTTGGAAGAATTAAGACAGGATCACTGATATGAAGAACAAGGGAAAGAGTCAATGTCTGGACTCAGAACACTAAGTTCTGTTACGTTGTGAAAGAGCACGGGCACCAAACTTGTGTCCAATGTGATCTTGTCACTGTAACACCAGGATATGGTATCTGTTGCTAGAAGGACTGTAAAGATTACAAAGAAATATAAGAAATCTAAGAATGACTGTTTTAATTAAAACAATACAGATAGTTTTACTACCTGAAAACAAACACACAGACTAAATTAGAGTACAAGCAAAATACAGGATACAAGAAGAATAATAAATATACGCTACCAAAGTTCAATTTGAAAAGTAGTCCAACAGTAACTAATAAGACACCAGAAACCCATGTGCACTGAATAGCAAGATCAAAGTACAAGTCCAATCACAGTGGACAATAATTGTTGACTAATGAGGCACGTATCACCGATTGTGCCATATTGAGACATCATTCTACAGAGAAATAGCTGTACAATGTGTAGGGTAATCAAACTGTGTGTCTGTCATCCTTGTGGCAAGAATAAGGACGGTGAGGGACATTTCCCAGCACCAGAAATGTTGGCAATATTGATGATGGGATGAGCACTTGATTATGAAGCTTTATAGGATGAGGCAACAACAAGATAAAATAATGTTAATTGTAGCACATTGATAGTGTAATAATGAATGCACAATTGTATGTGAACAAATAAGTACTTATCATTAAGTCACCACCACTTGTGAAGACCATCTGAAGAACCCTGAAAATCCCCCCTTTGTGAACTTGGGGAAAAAAACATCTCGTGTTCTACTTGGGAACCTCGTAACCATGGCAAAATCCCTGAAACCGAATACAAGTGACAGGTGGCTAATGAAAAATGGACAATTAAAAAAAAACAAAAAAAAACTGTTTTACATTTTAAGGTTCTTATCTCTTCCTACAGAGTAACTATTTTATGAACACTGTACTACAATATATATATATATATATATATTATAAAATGTAAATCATCAATTTAAATGTATTCTGTTAAAGAAAAGAACTCCTAGACTTCGAGTTTCTACATTCTTGCCATTTCTACATTCGTAGTGAATGCATTAAAAACCCGGCAAGATTTCTTTGTGATGTCTGCCAGTCAGTGCATCACTTATGTGCAAAGACTTCATATATTTGGAAATTCTGTTTTTATCCTGTAGAGTTTTATTGTATCCGTCTGATGCGTACTGAAACTACTAAAGACTTCTGTATTTCCCGAGGCTAGAATCAGCTAGTGGGAGACGGAACTGTGGCTCTCTGTGATGTAACATTAAACTAACAGAGATTTCTTAATGTTTCCCCACATTCTTCATACGCGTCTTTGAAAATAAGTTGGTGCTTTCACAGCACCTGTGATGCGATGGATATAACAGAAGGGTTATGCCAACTGCTAAATTCTCTAATTAAAGCATGCTCATTTAAAGGAAATAGTTGGAGGCTTGGGACAATGAAGTGTATAAATGACTGGCACAAGAGTAGTAGAAATGTTTGTTGGATTAATAGATCTCGATTTAAGAAACCTGAGTGGTATACAAAGAATGATTTATTGATACGACTCAGGATGATATTGGAAGAAAAAAATTGAGGATAATAAAGTAGCTTGTGAAATTCCTTATTCACTATTTGGGGTGTAATCACTATTTGTTTTGTAATGGTTAAGTTAATGATGGTGGATTAGTATGCCATCATTAACTCACCATTAAAAAAGGTGCTGTTATAAACAATGCTACCAAGGTAGGATTGGATATAACCAACCAGCACACTCTCCCTGATTTAGGCATTTTTAGAGAAATAAAGAAAAAATTAGCTTTGCATTGTTTTCAGCCTTATACTTGTTGTGAGAACATTAATGAGCAAATATAAATGGTCTGCAGGTTCACAACTTAGTCCTAAGCTAGAATCTATTCTGTCATAGGGCCTATCAGTGACAGATAGATGGCGGGCAGGTTATATGCAGGCCTACAATGTGGGATGTACCAAAGGGTGGCTCGTCAACTAAGAGGACATAGAATTTGAATGATTTCAGCTATATGGGGGTGCTATGTCTCTTTGAAGAGAAACAGGCACTGTATGCCTATATTGGGGGTTGTGACAGTGAAATGCTTTCTTGTGATCACTAAAGCAATAGTATAAGAACATCTGAAAATCAATAAAGGAAGAACAACGTAAAGAACATATTAAAACTAAAACAAGACTAGGCCAGGCTTAGAGTAGACATTACAGATACGATTGTATATCAGTTCACATGTTGGCCAGCTTAGCATGGTTCTTGCTCATGGTATCCGGGTTCGCGGGATGGAACGTGGTGATATGGGTAATGTGCTGCTCTATCACTAGCCGCTGACTCTGCGGGAGCAGTAAGACAAAGCTTCCTTCCGTTGTGCTGTATGGTGAGTTGGTGACCTGGGCCCCATCTGTAGGATATGGACCATCTCACAGCTGCTTGGTAAGTGGCCGCAGCGACTGTCGCCATTGGACAATAGGGCGAGAAAAGCCCCCATAAAATTAGATGATATAGGTTTCAAAAGCGTAGTGTGGGGTCTTCCATGCCTCGGTCATAATTGCAGAACTGTCAGCTTCCGATCTGAACCTCACCAGAGTGTCTCGAGAGACAGTGGCGAGGCCTTGGGTGATTTGGCTACTTTAAAATGCAAGTCAGTCACTAGTATTTTCTCTTTCGAACCAATTTCGATTCAAACTGGTGTTGGTTCTGTCTCATACAAGCCATCTCTTCAGCTAGGCCTTGATATTGACCCTTGTTTGCGTCGGAGTCATCTTCCACTACCCATATTCATCCCTCTATTGAGTGGACCTCTTCACAGACAATGGAGAGATCAGTGTCAAACATGACCTTCATCTCAACAAGGAGGGACTTAAACTCTGCTTTGATCACTGGTATGTGGTGGTCATCAATGCGGATCCCGGAGGTGAGTGGCATGCTTAGCTATGGCCTGCTTGGTCAGGGCCCTCTGCGCTGTCTGCAGAACCATTGCATGTGTATTCCGCTCCAATCTCTTCAGCGACATCACGGGACTGTCGCGCCTCAGGACAGGGCCACTAGACCCAGCTCCGAACATGTCATCCCTGAACTCGTCCAAGGTATGCACTTCATCAGGGTCTTCTATGGAGCTACTTCCCGAGTATTCTGGGGAAAGCTCCCGTGGTGCTGCCATTTTGGAGGTGCGAAGCCTAGGTGGCTGTCGGAATAAATCACCTATGTGATGGCTTTTAGGGTGTACATCGGCTCTCAATTGCCTTGATTTTGACCCATTATTCACAGTCTGCCTGTGTAGCGTTTGGAACACCAAAGTTGCCTGGATTTCTGAGGTTTGTGCACAATTCCCTAATTTCTGCTACGGAGCTCTTATGAAACACGTTCGCTCCAGTCAATTGCTAGCTCCACCCCCTCTGTAAATCCTATTTTCATGTTAATATTTTTTAAGTGAATTGTTGAATATAAATTTCTTTATAACAAGAATATGTGACCTGGGTGCTAGACCTATAGAGTCTCTTCCAGCATATGCCGTATTTAATTAAATAAAATGCCATGACCGTCTATAGTGCTATGGAGTTATTAAACCCACAAAATGAAATAGGTAAAAAAACAAACAAACAAAAAATAGGATTGTAGCATAGATTATAGTATATGAATAGTCCGTTACAGACCTATTGCACATAATGTACTCACAAAAGTGAAAATAAAATGGCATACCATCAAATCCATCTTCGCCTTGGATGTCTTTCTTGATCTTATTTGGTTTCCTGTAGATGATACCATAATCAGAATACTGGAGACTTGGAGATTTGTTTCAGACCGAACTGCTAAAAACAGCTGATTGATGGCTGGTGGACAGAATGCTGATGTTATTTACAGATAAAGTGAGAAGTGAGCAATAGAGCCAAAAACAGGAGGAGCAATGTAAAAAGTGTGTATATAATAAATGCATAATATACAAATATAGATTTTTTTATTATTATTATTATTCCTGCTCCTCGTGTTTTGTTCTCAATTGGTTACTTACTCTCACTTATTCTGTGAACCAAATGACGAGGAAATGTGCTTATCGGTGTACTGCAAAACAAATACATTATATCATGTACATATTTTAAAGCACACCGACTTTCTCGTTTTCGCACCTTTTTGGTTTGTTCTTTGGATTCGGTTCCTGATCTGACAATAGACCGAGCTGATCGCACACCAGACAAAATTCTGGGGGTTCTGAAAATTATTTTATCTTTGCAAAACAATTATTTGGAAAAAAAACTAAAATTCTCACCACTTACAAGTATAAAATACTTAGTATAATCTAGTTTAAACATAAAGCAAATTTATTTCAAATAAAAAAGAACACTGCATAGGATTAAAATACAGATTAGAGACCTAACTTCATTCTGCCCTTATTGCAGGTTAATCCTTAATACTGGTATGTCTGATGAAGTAGAAGGATCTATGGAATGCGTTGGGCTCCGTCGCACAGTGTATCCTGTGGCACGCATTCTAGCCTTGGCAGAAAGTGTTTAAGTTTGTGTCTAATAAAGTATTTGTTTTTATTGAAAGCACTATGTTCTCTTGATTCTGTTTTCACAGATCTTTTAGCACTTGTTTGAATTACTACAAAGTGGAATGTGATTATAAAATTAGTTTTTAACTTTTTAAGGACATTTACTTTAAATTTTGCTAAATAGCTCTGGTTTGAGCAGTTAAACCATTAAGATTATATTTCTACAGGATTTTTGTGCTCTTTTTAGCTGTCTATTTCTTGGAGTTATGAGTCGTCACTCTAAAAACCATTGAGCTTAATTTTAAAAAATAATTATCCAAGAGTACATTCCAGCTTTGATATGTTTTTGGAATCCATAGTGGTCTAGTTTGTGGGTGTAGCACTTTTAGGGTGTAGCACTCTAGTTTGTGGGTGTAGCTCCCCTTAGGAGTCAGATCTGCTGTTTTTTGTTTGTTATAGCTATAAATGTGTTTACAAGAAAATAACTATCGGTATGTGCAAGCTTCAATATAGGCTTTACCAGTCCAGGTGACATGACTCATTCACCTAGAGAGAGATAAAGATCCCACAGAGCCCTAGCATAGGGCCCTCAGTTCATTCTTCACAAAAGGATGGTGAATGGGGCCAAGCAAATCCTTAATTCTGGGTCACTATCTAACCAATGCACCGTAGACAACTGCCTATGGTCACTTTATAATAATCCTGCTCTGCATTCTGTATTCACTTCTTTATTAAGAAGTGATTTTGAATCTCAAAACACACTTTATTTAAAATAAATAGCTCTGTCACATCAAACTTTCCTTTCTACAATGATTTTTTTTCTCTTCATATCTCTGAATATGTTATTCATTTTTCACTTCTGATCTTTTTGTTGTAAAATACATAAGAGAAAGTCGGGCCTACTTTGTCTTGGTATTTTTCCTACATTTGACAAAGCGTGGCACTTAAGACAAGCTCTGCTTCCTTTGTCAATTCTCATTTACCCACAATATTTACCTGCCGGTCACATCCCTTGTCTATAACCTCACAATCTATCTTCTGTACTCAGTCCTTCCTTGAGTCTCATGCATACCCAGTACAATTGGCTTTGCGTTTTGCTTCCTGGGCATGCGCGTCGAACATCAGAAGAAGGGAGTTTAGAAGAAGGCAGACAAGTCTTTACCAGGCTTCTGAATGTAGCACAAAAACCAAAGAGCTTTTGAGAGGTAAAAATGTGAAACTGTGTCAAAAGAAATGCGTTGGGGGCATAGGAGGGCAAATAGGTTCTGATGGTATATAAAAGGAAACAAAATTCCCTGTGACAGTCGCTTTAAGTCAAGTCTAATGTAAGTTCTCTTATAAAAATTTAAAACGTGGCTCATACTAGCAATTTTCATTCAACTTGCATCTCATCATATCTGGGAACTAATATAATCCCATATTAATCATGATTTTGTATAATATGAGAAACACGTATAGGGCAGCATTTTAAGTGTCTTGTATTTCAAATGGACAGCGCAAAAAAAAAAATTAACGCTACGAAAAGGTTATCCATCTTGTAATGCACATCATGACTGCTAAGTAGCTTAACGTGCATTAATAAATAAAACATTGCTCAATTGTAGAAGGGAAAACCTTTTAACGGATTAAATGGCTCACACTACCTGACAGTGTGAAATAGGGGTGGGAAGTATTGTATAGCTATAAAAGAGATGGCTTTTATTAGCTCCTTTTCATTTTTTAATGAGCTGCAGAAAAATGCACTCGAATAAATATAATAAAACCCACAAAGTATGAAAAACGCAGTGCTATTTAAAAAAAAAAAAAAAAATGACTTTTATACTTTTATAATACAGGGTAATATAATATTCTATATTTTTAGAATTTAAATTTCGGTGATATAGTCAAACAATTGAATAAGTGAGTGAAGAAAAATTTGTCTTAAAAACGAACACTAATCCTGCTATTTGTGCCACACATGACCAAGTTCTAGGAATTTAATTACAGTATATGAGAGATCACGGATCTCTTATTTATTAGAAACTTGGGAATTTAGTGCCGAGTGCTATAAAAAAAAGTTCACCTTTTCACTAAATTGTGGGAAACTGGCACCAAATCACTTGTAGAAAATGTAATTGAACATCAGATCCTGAACTCCTTTAGTCAAGAGCAACTAAATCTAGACTACCTGGGGAACTTTAAATCGACTGTTGAAATGTGAGTTTCCTAAGCATTTTTAAGCATGCTGCAGAGGAAAAGGCACCAGTTTGAAATAATTTTATTTTGTTTGTTTAAGAACCAGGTACGAGGCTGATTTCAGTAAAATCTTTCATTTTAATGAGTACTGCTTAATTAATGATTTTATGGTCTGGATACAGTCAATGTCAGACAATTGGGGCTAGATTCTGAAGTCTTTATGAAGTCTGAAGAATGTGTACTATTTTTTTCATTTTGCAAAAAGTGCAGATTTAATTAAAATTGACACTTTTATAAATAACATAGTTACACCCCCCTGGCTGTCAATCAGATATCCTGTCCTGTTACTTCCTGGTTTGTTTAGATCAGTGGAGCTAAACTCAAGAGGCAGCAATTGCCCAGAGCATTAGCCTCGCATGACTTCTCATTGAGCTGCATTGAGAAGTCTGTGATTGGACAGCCACAGAAAGTCTAGGTGGGGTTAGAAGAGGAGGGCATGCAAAGACTGCAGACAAGAGAAGTACCATTTTTTTTCAAGCATTTTTTCGATAAAACGCAAAAAAAATTGTTTTTTTTAAATGCATAATTAAATACATGCAAGTTTTCATTGAGTTATGGCTACTAAACTAGGGGTGCCCCAAAGGTAAATCCCCACATGTTGTAGGACTACAGCTCCCTTGATGCTTTGCATGCCTTTACAATGACAAAGTGTAACCGTGTGTGGTTCCCTTATTTACCACTATAATGTCTTAAAGCATAGAACTTAGTAGGGCTAACCATACAGATATCTTAGCCATAATTTTATGTAGTGTAAGAGATCCTCTATTTAACATATATAAATAATTGAGAATACAATATAAAATAAGGATTGTCTTGGAAGCAAGATTGTCTTTTGGATATTTATTATATAAAAATATAAAATCCATTATAGCAGAGTTTATAAGATTAAATTACATGCTTGCAAATATCATTAATAGGTTAACATACCCTTCTGAACATGTCATCATGTCAGCCTCTCTGTCATTTTAAGATGGAGCAGCGTCTGTCTCCAAGTCTCTCCTCTGTTTGTTTTATCTTGTCATCTTTAACAGCATCCATTGTGTCAGTCAGTGGTTCTGTGAATGTCCTGTTAGTATTTAGCAGGTTGTAAAATATCAAAACTTACTGTTCTCTGTTGGCTCTGATTGTTCTCTGTAGTAAAAGTTCTCTGAGTCACCCTCTCCAGGACAAACTAGCCAACAGTAAGAAAAAGTTGGTGGTGCAAGGCGAGGTGGGCTGGAAAAAATAATTCCCTGAATTTCTCTAATAGAACCAATGGTTCTAAGCTCTCCCTGGTGCAGAAATATGATTGTCAGTGAAAAAACATGTAACATTTCATATGGTGTCTCACCACTTGTATCATCAGGTATGTTGTGAATGCTTATCTGTACCATAGGAATAAATAGATACCACTGTGTGGGGCAAGCAACTAGTAACTTGGTTAATAATCATTCAAC